TAGCAACAGCAATCACAAGTATTTACATACCTCGCACTTTCTGATGTCGTACTTTTATCGTATAGTGAAAAGAAAGGGTGTTTTTATAAGTGGTACCTAAAACGAATATTTGAAATAAAAGGTTTTCGAAGGAATAACTATAAAAACTTATACACTGAAACAAAACTAAGAGCTCATCTAAAAAAGTCATTTTAGTTAACATTAGTTGAAAGGATATTTCTTCGAACTGTTCTAATCAAGAATAGCAGATATCTCTTATCGAGAGAGTGAGTGTCTGTTCCCTGCATAATTCGTTCTTCCAAACGTGTATGCAAGTTTCTAGACTGGGGTTAACATGATGACTGTGTAAAAAGCTCAACAAAAAGCAACAAACGTAAGGAGGTAACTTACATAATTTAACATACAAATCCCTCCGAAGAAAAGAAAATAGTTACCGAAGAATCACATTACGCATAGTTCAACTATGTGAGGAGAAAAAGTACAAAAGCTATGGGCAATTAACGGAGTAATCGCGAGCCAATGCTGTTGTGTTCTCGACTTTTTCCGACACTTTTTGGTCGCGGGACTTTTCATTATAGAGATATGGCGTAGAAAACTATGAAAGAAACTGACAAATCTTGTCTACATTTTGCATGAAGAACCTGCAGAGAACTTTGCACACGTTTACTTGGATTCTTAGAAGAACGAATTATGCAAAAAAGAGATACTCACTCTCTCGATAAGAGATATCTGCTATTCTTGATTAGAATAGTTCGAAGAAATATCCTTTCAACTAATGTTAACTAAAATGACTTTTTTAGATGAGCTCTTAGTTTTGTTTCAGTGTCACGGGTGGCGCAGAAATAATTGCGCTGTTAGTAATTTAAATCTTTCGCCTCTTCCTTAGACTCGATCGAACTGATTCTACTACCAAAAGATTTCCTGTTCAATTCTCTACAAAATGGTGTATATAAACGACAAGCCAGAACTTTGAGACGTTGTTTCAGCTGAACAAAACGTGATGTACCTCGAAAACGAGAAAAATGTAATCGTTTTCTACTAAGTTTTTTTAATTTGAAATCTATGCTAAAAGAGGGATACAAGCCGTATCCTAAGTTGCTTCTTTACATTTTCAGATGTTCTCTATATGACAGAACAGAATTCATTTCCCCTTCTTGCGTCAGTCCGGTAAAAATGGCTAAATAATTACTTGTCGTAATAAATCAGTGAAATGTCAATGTGATGATCTGGTATTTCTCAAAACAAAATTATTTCATACTGTTTAAATGTGAATTTAGTAGCAAAAAATGTTCTTCCCAAATGACATCTGAGCGAGCTTAATTGGTTTACTTTTATCCGAAATATGATCAATCTGCGAATAGCCCTAACACGTAACTCGAAAAAGCAATGATGGGGCTTTTACAGAAACCATGATTGTAAGCGCAAAATAAAGAGAAGAAATTCGTCTTAGCTGCCAATCAATAGAGAATTTCAATGGCTACAATTCTACATATTCGATTCGACGCGACTAAACAATTTTATTTATTATCGGCGAAATATTCCTTTTTTAGTTAAATTTTTCACGTTCTCGAGGCACATCACATTTTGCTCAGCTGGAACAACGTCTCAAAGTTCTGGCTTGTCATTTATACGCCATTTTGTGAAGAATTGAACGGGGGATTTTGGTAGTAGAATCAGTTCGATCGAGTCTAAGGAAGAAAAGAAAGATTTAATTACTAAAGACTTAAAGATTTAAATTACTAACAGCGCAATTATTTTTGCTCCACCTGTTATAGGTTTTTATAGTCATTTCCTCGAAAACCTTTTATTTCAAATATTCGTTCGAAGTACCATATATAACTAGAGAGTAATTGTGCTGCGCACAAGTTACGATGTTGGCAGACTCTGTCTCTGCTGACAACTGCCAAAGGTTAGCAATTCAGTCAGTAAATTTCCACTGCACCGCTTTCACTGTGATTTTCTATTTCAGCTACTTTAAAAGACACAGTTAGAAGAAAAAATAACAGCACAGAGAACGAAATATAAAGAACAAAGAAACAGAAATGAGAGAGAATTATTTTTCTTTTTAAGAACAAATGGCGCCGCACAACTGATGCTAATGAACTTTAAAAAACTTTCAAGTCCAAAACATTTTTTGTTCCCGCTTGTGTAGCTTATGACGCCGAATTTGGACTTGTGGTTGAAAAAAGGACGTGCATTGATTAATTTCCAATGTCGGGCGATTATCCTTCCGTTTTCACTAGTATTCTACATAGCGTAGTTCTGTCGATCACGTCGTGCACATTTTGTAAAAAAGATTACTAAACATACAAAAACAAAATCCCTGCAAAAACTCATAATGTCTGCCGATATAAAAACGCCCTTTCTTTTCACTATACGATAAAAGTACGACATCAGAAAGTGCGAGGTATGTAAATACTTGTGATTGCTGTTGCTATCGAGTAATTCTTTGTTTCAAATCACGACTGCGTTACTGAATGCATTTGATTTGTGAACTGAAATCTATCAATATAAGAACGAGAATTGTATTATTACACATGTGGAGTGCGTAAATAATAATAAAAAACTCTACTCGACTATGGCAAAATTATAACGCTCCTTTGCAAATGCAAAGAAAATTGTTCAGTTAATTAAAATGAATAATAATATTGATTCTTTGATGATATATTAACAAGCATCTATCCTTATGACATCTCATCCAACCGTTGTTTAGTTGTCTTTTTCCTCGAACGTTAAAGGTTTAAACCAATTTATTAAAGTGTGAATAGTTGAAGAGATCTACATAAACCACAGAACAAAATCAACATTACAAAAGTCTGTGCTACACTCTGGAAACACTTTCTAAGAAATATCTGATAGATTATCACCAATCGCATTGGGTACGAGATCTCACTGGGAGTCCGTTTCACTAAATATCGCTAACTAATGAATGAAACGGATGCGAAGAAATGTGATGAGTGTTGCATAAAAATGGATAGTAAACTGTACACGAAACAAGCGGTTGTAAAATAAAAGTTATTAGCAACTGTAATGTAAAACTTCAACACAAAAAAGCGATTTTACTCGACTCCTTCCGACTAATGTTTTTTAAAACGACATGTCAAATTTTAAATTATATCTACTTTATGCTAAAAGGTGTTGTCATCTAGTAAATCGATGCTGAAAAACAAAAGTTTTTTAAAAATTTTCTCACGTACATCCGATACTTCAAAAACGGCACGACTGTATGTTTAGAAATTTTCTTTGAGTATCGTACGATTTATAAATTCATGTTGACTTAAAGCAATTACGAACTTTTTTTGGACACTAGAACGACATTTAAGCACACTTTATGCCGAGAAAAACACTGTAAAAGTATGTCATTTGATCCGGCTCATCTAGGTGCTAAAACAAGCTAAACGAAAAACGCAATAACTATTATAGCGTTTTTCTTTTAGCGTATTTGTTCGGTTTTAGATGAACATCAACCTGTCCACAGCTCGAATTTGCTAAATATATTGAACATGTATAACAAAGTATTTTTATGGATAGATCTTTGGCCTGTACTCGAATAAACTGAACTGGATTGAGCTATATTTATATTCCTAGTGAATGTACTTGAGCCAAGTATTTGGGCTAATTAATGAGGATAGTACTTGCGGACTTTTTTCAGTAAATTTACTTGTCAAGTACTTGATCAAATACTTGACAAAGTAAAATGTAAGTACTTGGCTGATACAATGCAAGTAACTTTATTCAAAAGCTTCAGTCAAATACTTATTCCATCTATCATTCTGTATTTTGTACGTATTCATACTGCACTCATACTCTACTTTTGCAGAGCAAGTACATGCACGACTACTAAGGTTGTTCAACTGAGTAGAAATGTATAAGTTTATTTATAAGTATATAACGATTGATACTGTGATGTTTATAACTTACACAACTGGTCAATCCAAAAGAAAAGGGTAACTGGCTTGTCTAAGTACTTGGCTAAAGCAAGTCAAGTAACGACACTTGACAAGTTCTTGATCAAATACTTGCAAAGTGCTTAACGTGTCACGTACTTCTCAAGTACTCATCAAGTAATCAAGTACTTGTAAGTACATTCACTAAAATAGAGTCCCTATTTATATACCTTTGGTTATCAGAAATCATTTAAAATATTGTGTCAATTATTTAATGATATTTAGTCGAATGATATTTGTATCGGATCCGTTTCAATTGAAATATTTTAATTACCTTTTCTAAGTTCTTCTCTATCTATTGTTGTGAGATATTCAATAAAGGTAGGATTTCCCGAACAACTGATACGTTTTAAGCACTAAGTTTGTCTGTAATAAACTCTAAGTGCTTCCCTTTTATCTTAAGTTAAACTTAATTTGGGCATCTAATTTAGTTTTGTCTTTAGATTTTTCATGAAATACATATAATCAACATCAGACTTCTTCTAGATTAAATCCTGTTATTCTTATATCTTTTCCTATTATTATTAATCATCGGTTGCTAGAAAGCCTACCTTTTTTCCATTCTCTCCTTTTAACTGTTTTATTACTATTCTCTCGTGGATCCGGATCGAAGTGAGTTAAAATTAAAATGGCATTGACATTTCAATTATACGTGCGCACGTTGACGATGCCATTTTCATTGTAGGTTATCTTTCAAGCATTTGTTGTAGTGGTCCCCATCTATGATATAGAAAGTGTTGAAAGGTCTAAAGACTAAATTTTATTGGCTGCTATGAACGAATGAAATGTTGTAACTGATTATTTGTTTTTATGTGAGAGACGGGCGATCGAGAGAAGAGTCAAGCTGCAAGCCATAAATTTTAAATTTTTTTTTAAATTTTCTTATTAACCGGGAACTACTCTGCACATTAACTAAGATAAGAATGCTAATATGACTGCTCAATGCGTTTACTGCACATAGGAGAGGATACACGGTTAGGTCAGCGTTTTTAATTTTGAACAAAGTGTACAGTGATCGTTTATCTCAGCCTCAGATATCTTTTTCCTTTTCAGATGGGCTCAGGCGGTACAAAACTTTTATCTTATGAAGAAGCCTGTAAACGTTGTAAGTGCTTAAAATATGGATTTTCTCTCTTTGTTTATAACTTTCATGTTAACTCATCACATTGTTGTTCTAGTTTCTCCCTCTGACCTTGAACGAATTGAATCTACATTTCGCGATATAACAAATGGATCAGGTGAACTTGGATACACGAATTTTAAACGAGACGTTCTTGGAAATTTTCTTCCCGAAAAACTTGCTACGGTTAGTGATTTATGATTAGTTAGATTAGGTTCTAAATATCTTTTTCATTTTAGCGTTTATATCAAGTATGTGCAGGTAATTCAAAAAATGGAATGACTATTAAAGATCTCATCATATGCTTAGCGATAATTTATTATGGAAAACCAAAAGAACGCATGCAACGTACGTATAAATCTGCAGTGTTCAGTAACATTGTAAAAATCGAACGAATTTATTGTTATGTTTCTATTTGAAGTTTTATACGCTATTTTTACATATCAACATTCGACACTATATCGACAAGATGTCGAAGAGTTTATTTCACAGTGTGGTGAAACAATACCCGAGGAATTGCAAACGTTATTTCTCAACGTATGTATATAGTTTTTTTTAAATTCAATACTTAATTTTGATTGACTGTGATTGTCCTTCTAGGATCAAATTGTCTCACAAGAAAGTTTCGTTAATTGGCTTGAACGGCATCATGGACACACAACCATACTAACTGATTGGCTAATGGATGATAATAGATTGCATGAACTAACATCTGTCATCATCGATGATCGAAGTGATCAATTTGTGATATTAGCTGGTGTAACACATTGTAAGTAAATCTGATGTTTGAACTAAATTATTCAACGTTTTCTAAATTCTTCTTCTAGTAAACGATAAAGAAGTGTTGGATTTGGAACGTTGTTATAACATTCAACTACATTCTCATCCTCAAAAACAATTGAATATTGAAACATTTTCCAAACTATTATCACCTGTACTCCCTCCAATTCTCATTCCAGGTAACCAGAGTTTTATATTTGTAATTTCTCAAATATTGTTTGATTTTTTTTTGTTTAGGGTTTTTTGATGCGTTCGACGAGAACCAAGATGGTATGAGGAAGCGGAACGAATTTATGTTGATTTAACATGTTTTTTGTTTTAGGTACTATTGATTTCAAAGAGTTTGTATGTGGAATCAGTGCGGCATGTCGAGGTCCTGATATTGAACGATTTAAATGTAAGAGTTAGAATATCCAATTGTCATTGTTCCTATTGCATATATGTTTGACATTCTAGTTCTATTTAAAGTATTTGATCGTGATCGTGATCATTTATTAAATAAATCAGATGTTATTCATATGGCATCGTGTTTGATCGACGTAGCACAATTTACATATCATATGACATTTTTTCATGCCCACGATTCGCCTGAAGAACTTGCTGAAAGTGTGTTAAAAGACAATGGACAGGTATAGAAAAGAAAAAAAGATTTTTCTTCAACTGAAAATCAACACTTTCGAACTAGGAGCAATTCTCAACATCTATGAATAGAAATATCCTAATTATCGATTACGTCCCTGCTATCAGTTGATCTTAAACTGTTGAGAAATCAATGTATATATACTAATTTGTTCTAAACTTTTTTTGTTCCAGAACGATATTCTTAAACAAGAAGATTTTCTAGGATGGTGTCAAAAAGAATCTCTTATATCTGACTTACTCAATTTAATATTTCAAATTTGTCATGTTGTGTTGGGTCTAAGACCTTCCAGTAATGAAGAAGAAGCATCGATAATCAAGTACGTAATAATTATATTTTCTACAAGTCATAAATGTATCTAAAGATTACGTGTAGATTATAATGCTAAAACTTGATGCTATCTATGAATCTAGAATAAAAATATTTAGCAGACGTTAAGTGTTTTATACAGCTTCAGATAAAATATCAAATCAGGTAGATTAAAAAAAAACATTCTCAATTATTGTCTATTTTTCTGAAGAACGACTAATAATTAATCTGTTTTTTAAGTGACTATGTATGATTTTTTGTATTCAGCGATATATGTTTCTTTCGTAGGACATTTCTTAAGCGTGAACAATATCCATTTATTGAAGCTCAACCCTGTGTATCATCAAAAGTTTATCATTGGATTAATCAAAATCGTTCGATGACAAAATTTGGTTCTAATTGGTATTTGATTAATATTGAATGGTGGAGACAATGGGAACAAAAGATTGGTATAAAATATAATTCACAAATGACTATAAAAAATCAAAATTATTATAATCAGTCAGCATCCGATATTCAACAATTAACAACATCTTCACCATTAAATAAAACTCGTTCAGTATCGAAATTAACAAAAAATTCCTCCTCAAAACCCATTCAAAATGGTTCTATCACTGATTTAAGGTTTGTATTATTTTTGTTCTAATAATTTAAGCAAACACACATAATTATATTTTTCTTTTGGTGGTCTCATTGTAGTAAACCAAGTCAAATTGATAATCTGCCTTTATTGGAAAGAACTTCATCAAATAAATTTCCAAGTGTGAATGATGAATGCATTCAATTAAAACCGTTCTTGAAACATCTTCAAGATTTTGAAATGGTTCCAGAATTACTGTGGAATTTTATTAAAAAATATTATCGATGTAATGTGGCTATATGCAGAAAAGTAACCTATAAACGAAAACAAGTCAAACCAGAATTAGAACTTTATCCGGTAAGGAATCAATATTTTTCGCAATAAATGAATCATTATTCACATGTATTTACTTTCTTCTTCAGTTCATCATAAAGATTTATCGTAATCAAATGATTTCACAACAACAACAGGCATCAAATGCTAACTACAATAACAATAGTACTAGTAATAGTACTCTGCCACCCAATCAGCCTCTATATTTTGTTTATCCATTAATTAATTTTGTATCTGCAAGTATGTTTGGCAATGGTAAGTTTTATACTATTATCACAACTGATCAAGTAATTATTTATAATTGTTCTACAAAAGGTTCTTCATCCACAAATGCTTCTCGACATTATTTAGTGAATACACATTTTATTAGTCCATATCAGACATTAAAATCTGTTGCTGAAGAATTAGCCTTTAAATATGGTAAACAGTTAGATGAAATTCGATTATGGTTAAAATATGGCGAAGTACGACGTCTAAATTAATCTTTTAAATTTAAATAACTATTTCTTTTTTAACTTAGAATGATCTGAAATGGTTGGATTTTGAACAAGATAATCTGACTTGCGAACAAGTTCCCATTCAAAATAATAGTGAAATATTAGTCGAAGTTCGAAATAATGACTTGACATGGCCAGAAGAATTGTATACATTGACAACACCAAAAACAAAATTAAATGAGAACAAAGAGACATCACCAGCAGCTGTTAGTATTGGCACGACTGGTTTAAGTAATTTAGGGAATACATGTTTTTTAAATGCTGCTGTACAAGCGCTCAGTTATACATACCCATTGACATATTATTTCTTAGAAAGATATCATTTATTTGAAATAAACAAGTAAGTAGACTTGTAAGAACGTTTATTTAAGGTTTCAAATCCACAAATACTTTCTTTATTCAATATCTTTGTGTTTTTGCCCTGTTTCAATAGTTTTTAGTATTATTTTAGAGATAATTATTTCTTTTAATTTATATTTAGAGATAATCCGATCGGTATGCAAGGAAATATAGCTTTACGATATGGACAGTTAGTGGCTAAACTGTGGAGTGGTGTGAAAGGACCACTTGCACCCTTCGAACTACGTGTATGAACTCTTAATTATGCTTCAATGGCATGAGATTTATTTTTTTTCAGGGCTCTGTTGCTAAATTTGGCTCGTCAAGATTTACGGAATTTCAACAGCACGATACGCAAGAGTTTCTTTCCTTTCTACTTGATGGATTACACGAAGATTTAAATCGTGTACATCATAAACCATATGTAGAATTAAAAGACAGTGATGACCGACCAGATGAAGATGTAAGTAGTTGAACACATTTCATCTATGTAATTCATTTTTTATTGTTTTCGGAAAACAAAAGGTCGCAATGGAACACTGGAGTAATCATTTGGCACGTAACACAAGTATCATTGTCGATTTATTTCATGGCTTATTAAAATCACAAGTGAAGTGTCTTGTTTGTGGGCTGAAAAGCGTCCGATTTGATCCATTTAATGTTTTATCATTACCTTTACCATCAGAAAATTCTATTTATTTAGAAGTGAAACGTAAGTGAAAAATAGTGTAAAAATGGGCTTTAATATCATTGTGATTCAAAAATCTGAATTTATTCTGAACACGATGTTCTGTTCTTCGTTGTCTCTGAAACTAGATGTCTGTACAATCAATAAATTATAGTTATTGTTTTTAGTAATGCGACTCGATGGCTCTATTCCTGTTAAATATGGCATTAAAGTAAACTGTGATTCTACATTGTTTTATGTTAAACAACAATTAGCTGAATTATCATCACTTTCTGTTGATCAGCTATCATTTTTTGATGTCACTTGTCATTATTTACGTCGTACGGAACGTGAAACATTGAAAGTGAAATTACTCAATAATGCTAAAGACTTGTATGCATACGAAATTCCGTTACCAATTCCAATCGATACTAGGCAAACGGACAATGCACACAAACAAGAAATGTCCATGTCAAAACCAGTCAGTTCTTCATCTACTCCTTTAACATACCGTCCATCGTTATTTATTATTGCTTATCATAGACGTCTCGAACGCAATGAACGTTATATATCACCAATGACTCGATATCGTATAGTATTTTTCGGACAGCCAATTATAATTCCATATTATTCATCTTCTTCGACGACTATAATAACGAATCGAGATCTGTATAAAGATGTTTGTAATCAAATCGATAGATTATTAAGAAATGTTAAATCTGTTAAATCGGCAAATCATGCACTCGATTGTGATGATTCATTAGCAGAATTATATCCATTTTCGTTGAAGAATGTAACAGAAGACGGACAAAAATGTTCAAAATGTACATGGAACAGGTAAACGTTGATTATTGATGGCAAAGATAAAGACAGATGGTTAAGTATCAGTATTTCCAGCCAGTTATTTGCTGTAAGCATCAGTCACTAAGAAGTGAGAGTCTTTAGTTAATAATGAAAAGAGATCATGGTAATTTTCAGTTTTATTCTTTTCACTGGACAAATCCTTCTTTTTTCACTTTCGACTAGGCCTGCAAAAGTTCACGTTTTGTTCCTTGAACGTGAAAGCTAAAGCACGTTCGCGTTCCTTGAATATGCACGTTAAAGCACTGATGGACGTGAGCTTTTTTTATACGAACGGCGTTCATATCTTGTGAAGTAAATATAAACTGCTGTTCTTGTACTGTAGTAAGAACATATATATTTCTGCTTGGTCTTATCTGATCAATAGAAATTCTAGTGAAGGATCAGATGATCTGCTCAGGGCAGTGACCAGATTATTACAATGTAAAAGGGATATCCCTTTATTCTCTGATCAGGGCATTGATTCTTCCAAGAACAAGTCGCAGATTTCCTGACCAGAAGACTAGTTTTTCCGGCACTGGAACGGAAGTTTCTTGATCAAAACTGTTACCGTAACTACATACGTTTTTCTTTGGTATTCTAACCCATTTGAGACAAACGAACGTTGATTTTTCACTAAATATAATTGGTAATGGAGAAAGCTGTTTCACTTGGTATACGTCTAGGTGAAATTGCTATATAACGTTTTGCAATACTATTTATTCCACACAAGATCGACACCGTTCATATAGAATAACGTTAACGTTCATCAGAACATTCGCGTTCACGTTCAAAAAACGTCAACGTGCTTTGGCGTTACGTTCGAAGAGAACGCTAAAAAGGAACGCTGAACTTTCGCAGGCCTACTTTCGATGCATTTTCTTTTCCTCAGAGAAGATCTCACACAAATCAATGAAAGTCTATCATAACTATAAAAGTATTATTAAACAAGCAGTAAAAAATTCCTTGAACTTGAGCAGTTATCCCGAAGATTACAGTCGTATGTCTGATATTTTGGTGACATGCTGTTTTTGTTGTTCTGCTCGTTTTTAGAGTATGAATACTACTGAAATCATTTTTGAATTCCAAAACTTCCGCTATTCTGTAAAAATGTAGGTATCGCTCATCGCGCCTATTATGTTTTTGAACGTTTATTTTTATAAAGCTAAACTGGATTGTTTTTAACAGGAATATGGCATAAACTGTTAATAGAATATAATACTTAATACATTTTTTATTCGTAATATTTTCTTTATCAGCACCTAAACGTTTTGACGTTTATCAAAGTCTTCATCAGTAGCATAAAAATTTTAATAATCAAATAAAATTAATATGTATGATTAGTATATTGTCTATAATTGAATTTGAAGTTCAAATGAATTTTGATCAAAGTTTAAGGATGTCGCGTTGATTTTTCTTCCTTTTTTTTCACAAAAAAGTTATACCAGATTATGGCTAGACGTTTGCATATGTATTTAGATTTTGTCTTGGATGTAAAATTGAATCAAATGATGAGCAATATATTAATATTAGCGGTGCAATATGTATTGATTGGGAGCCTGCTGCTTATTATCTGAGATATTTGGCTTCAAGAGAACAGGTAAATTGCAGCTTAGGTCACACTTTTCGTTTTATATCAGATGAACGAATGATGTGTCTGTTTTAGGAAGTAGTCAATGATTCAAGTATAAAACTTCGTCCACAACAACAATCAAATGATGATCATTCAATTCATCTAGAAGATTGTTTAGAATCATTTATCAGATGGGAAAATTTAGATCAAAAAGAAACATATTACTGTAAAAAATGTGAAAAACATCAACAGGCTGATAAAAAACTAGATATTTGGAAACTGCCACCAATACTCGTACGTGATAAAAAAAATCCTTGTTTTTAAAAGTAGTAAACTCTATATTTCATAGCAGCTACGGTCGTCATATTAAATCGTTTGTAATAAAGAAACGTTTTCACGAGGGAACATTCCCAGCTGTCCAACTCCGATTTCTTTCAAACATACATCAATCGATAGCCTATATCGAGATAGTAAAAAGCCTAAAAGGATTTATCCCCATGGCTCTTGAAGACCCGATTTTTTGGAAATCAGTTTTCCAGAAACTAAAAAAATAGCCAAAACGTTTCTTAATAAGCCATGATTGTACCCCAGACATTTCTGATTAAAATGAGACGTCTTCCAGTTCTACACGACCTTTCTTTGCAAAGTTGTAGAATTTACAAGAAAAGCCCTAAATGTTCATTGTCAGGTCAAAGCTACAGAAATAAGACGAAATCAATTTAGGTTTTTCTTGTAAATTCTACAACTTTGCAAAGAAAGGTCGTGTAGAGCTGGAAGACGTCTCATTTTAATCAGAAATGTCTGGGCTACAATCATGCCTTATTAAGAAACGTTTTGGCTATTTTTTTAGTTTCTGGAAAACTGATTTCCAAAAAATCGGGATTTCAAGAGCCATGGGGATAAATCCTTTAGGCTTTTTACTATCTCGATATAGGTTATCGATTGATGTATGTTTGGAAGAAATCGGAATTGAGAAGCTGGAAATGTTCCCTCGTCAGATGTATCGCTTATGTACCGAAGAAGGAACCATACTTTATTATCGGTATTATTTATTTAGATATTCCACATCAAACGTTTTCAATTGTACAACAATCGTTGGATCAAGTCTTCTCGTCCTATTCGTTTTCCTATTCATTCATTTTATCCATCTGCCTACGTGGCGACAAGAACACCTATCGCTCTTAATTTGCAAACTGAATCATCCTTGTCTACGACTACGGATTCAACAATTGATATAAATGGCAACGATCATCATTCATCATCCTCTTCTACTTCCACATCGTCATCACCTTCACTTTCGTCACAGAAAAAACGTGAAATTGAGCAACAGACCAGTCAAATATTATCACCAGTCCATTTATTTAATGGTTATGATGATTATCCAATAAGTCAAACTAATAGTACAAAATCGATGCAAAAAGTGAAAAAGAAATCCGATAAAAGTAAAAAAGTACCTGCTACCCCTAATTCAGCAGCAATGTCCATGTCATCATCGACTAGTCTAAAAAGTCCACTACACGAGCGAGCAATGAGTTTTGGTGAAAATAGTTTTGATGCTGATAATGCTGCTTATAATTTATATGCACTTGTGGTAAGGTGATGATATATGCGATGTTGAACATAGATCATCAATTCTTTCCCTCGTTATCGTTCTAGTGTCATCATGGAGTAATAGGTGGTGGTCATTACGTTGCATTCGTAAAAAATCGCATAACTCAACAATGGTATTGTTTCAATGATAGTTTAGTGAAGCCTGTCAATGAAAATGTTTTGGAACAGTATGCAAGCGCTGCTTATTTATTGTTTTATGAACGTGAGGGTTTGAATTATGGTCAATATATGCCAGATGTTGATGGAAAAAAGCAGGTGATCGTTGAACCGCCAGTTGAAGATAGATGGTGCTCGATTATGTAATGTGCAAAATGTAAACAACAAAAAAAAATCTCTTCCCGGTGTGTCCATTATTTATTTATTTATGTGTGTACGTGTGTCAATTATGGCTATTGTCATACATATATTTTTTGGCAAATAATAAATTTCTTGTTATATTTTTTTGTATTGCTTTATTTAAAAGTGTCTTTTTTCAAGTGTTACTGTTTTTTTAAAAGAAAAGTGTGATTTTTCTACTCAAGGGCAGCCTTTTACAAACTGTTTTTTGTATTCTTGCCAAAAGTCTATTTTTATGTTTTGAAATTCAATTATGTTCGTATTTTTTGTTTCATTTTTACGCTCATCGACATACTATAGAACAAAACAAATTCATATTAACACTCTTTTCTTTATTTATATGTATGTATACATAGATATATATATAAAAACAAGACTAGTTTTTGGTCATTGTTCATAATGTTTTTTAACGTCTGTTGTTGTTTTTTATGTTGCATATTTGTCCTCGTATCCCATTCTCTTTCTAATGTTTTCAAAGTGTACTCGTTATTGTTGTTGCTTCATATAAGGCATGAATAAACTGAACGAACCGCCTTAGTGTAGAAAACACTTAGTTATTGATTGTAAAACGGTAAAACGTCAACTCAACTCTGCTGTCATCTTACCATTTACAACTGCTTCAAAAATTTGATACCATATAAGCGATGAAACCTTCACCAAATTAAGCCAGTCTACTCTTTTCTGTTTCAGCCCGCGATGAATCCGACCTCACACGAATAAAGATTTTATTATGAATACATACCATTTTTTTAATTTGTATACAACTTGAATGTTTTTCAGATTCCGAAACAAAACAGAATAAACAGATGAGTGATGGTGTGATAGAAATAGACTAGAAAAATGAGAAATTCTAAATTGCTTTTTGTAAATGTCAATCGTTTGCTGCACAAATTGTTTAAGATCATGGAAAAGCTTTCTCCATATGACGGTATTTTTAACTTTTCGTACTTGAAAATAAATGCAAAAAAGTTGAAATCAAAATAAGTTAACACTGGGAACGTTGGTGCCATAATTTGGTCGCTGTAAGCCATATAGACTATGAATTTAATTTTGCACTTTAGTGCTACCTAAGTTCATGGGTTTGAATCTGTATACATACAAAAGTGATATCGTGTTTTTTTGTCAGTTTAAGTTTCAGGATACTGTAATGGGTTTTGTTTTTGCTTGTATTCTGGAATAATAAAGCTTATATTAACTATCGTGCAAAGCGACATCGCTTATAATGTAATTGATTGGTCTGGTATAGTTTAGTAAATAAAAATGGTAGCGCATTTTGAGAATCACACTTTTCTCATAGGTGAAGGTCGCTTTTTTTCTTCCTTAGAAAAAAATTTGTAGTTGTAGCTCATCACAATAGATTATTGTTCAGTAAAGCAAGAAAATACTACTATTGCATTGAATCATCATGTAATTCAAGAAAGGGGGTGCAATTTGTCATGAAGACGTTATTTTTTTAGATGGAAATAATGTTGTCATTTGGTTAAATTTCTTTCATTTTTTTTCTTCTGAAAGTCATTTTTACTCTTAGTCTATGCCACTACCTGCAAAACCAGGCTCGATCAAGGATCCTGAAGTTGAGGGTCTCTTTTCGAAAGATGATCCAGAAAAATTGTTTGTCGATTTACGTGAAATTGGGCATGGAAATTTTGGTGCTGTTTACTATGTATGATTATTTTGAAATATTAAATCGAGTAGTTGTTAATGTTTCTGTTTTACTCTAGGCTCGTAATTGTGAGACATCGGAGGTGGTCGCCATTAAAAAGATGAGCACTGGCCGAAAACAAAATGCCGAGGTAGAGCGAACTACACTAAATGTTTCTAAAAGTACTCAATAATTTGACTTATATTTTAGACGTGGCAAGATATTCTCAAAGAAATTCGATTTTTGCGCGAATTAAACCATCGACATTGTATTGCCTACAAAGGATGTTATCTGAAAGAATATACCACATGGTAAGGGATGGTCACAGGCTGCTCTGTGATTCTCAAACAACATCTGTCATGTTTTAGGCTTGCAATGGAGTACTGCCTTGGATCAGCTTCCGATTTGATTGAAGGTAATTTTGATCTGCATAACTTGATCGTTAAAAAGTACTTTTCATTTTTAGTGCATAAGAAACCATTGGAAGAAGGCGAAATTGCAACGATTGTCTGTGATACCTTATCAGCACTTAATTATCTTCATTCAATGCAACGCATTCATCGAGATATTAAAGCTGGAAATATTTTGTTGACAGAAGATGCCATTGTTAAATTGGGTTTGTGTTTTGAGAAGTATTGTATTTTTAGTTAAATTTCTCAATTATGTTTGGGTATGAAAAGTTGAGCAGAATCAACTAAACTGTAATTATATTAGCGTTACTTGAAATAACAGTTTCTAGTGAAGATATTTTCACATTGTCAGTCTATCTATTGAGTTAAATTGAGAAAAATGTTTTATTGTTAAGAATGATGAGCATTTTCTCCGATATAAAAACAGTTAGATGAGGTTTACAATAGACCGTAACAAATTAGCACGCATACTTTCACAAATTTAAATTATGACAATTTTTGTTTCTAGCGGATTTCGGTTCGGCGTCATTTATTAGTCCAGCCAATAGTTTTGTGGGGACTCCGTAAGTAGATTGATATAGCAAGACAACAACCACTAATAGATTTGTGTTTATCTAAATGTTTCTAGATATTGGATTGCACCAGAAGTTATACTAGCCATGGAGAATGGTCAATATGATGGCAAAGTCGATATTTGGAGTTTAGGAATAACATGCATAGAATTAGGTAGCCTAACTAACTAAAAATAATTTTCTTAGATTTAATTTCATTCTTCTCTTTACTATAGCTGAGCGAAGGCCTCCGTTGTTTAGCATGAATCCCATGAGTGCATTATATCACATAGCACAAAATGAACCACCGACGTTAAGTGAACCAGATTCTCATACAGTCGATTTTGTTTCGTTTATTGATATGTGTTTGCAAAAAGCACCGAGTGATAGACCGACAGCAAATGAATTACTAACAGTAAGTTTTATTCTCAGTCACTAGTAGAAAAGACTTTGGTTAAATACAAAGTTGAATGTACACATCTAATCTTCTCACATCCATTCTAATTTGAGGGTGGATTCTTATACTGGTTAATAAAACAATTTCATATGATATTTTTTTAGACCCCATTTATAACGAGTAAAAGTAGTCGTGAAATTTTGATTGATTTAATAAGGCGAACTAAAGAAGCTGTACGAGAATTTGATAACATTCGTTATCGGAGAATGAAAAAAATATTAATGGGGCAAGAAAGTCCAAAAAATACGAGCGATATATCGTCGTCAACTGTTGATATTCTGGATGATGGCAGTAACGGAGCACCGGTACGTACTGCTTATTGAAAAGAAAATTCCTATATGAAATTCCCTGGTTATTGTAGGATTATTTTCATTCAATTGATGATGAAGAAAAAAGCACCGATTATCCAACATATCCAGATGATGAAAGTCTCAATTCAAGTCGTTCTAGTCTTCAACAACCGTCAATAACAACGCCAACAACCGGTGTAATTAGTAATTTGGTTGTGAACGGTTTACCAAACGGTCGTTCGTCCAATGCACATAATCAATCATATGCATTATTATCAAGCGCTCAAACTATTCCCTATAATAACAGACGTTTTTCTTCTGGTGATAATCATTTACATCTCCATCCATTGACTCCTTTATCAACCCAACAGCCAATTATTAATGAATCAATTTTATCAATTAGAAAGTCAGATGTACGTTTCAAGTATAGTTTAAAAAGAATTATAGTAGTTTTCTTTCTGTTTTAGACTATTGCATCCGATTCACTCGCTGGTACATCTGCACGTGCCATAAATGAATTTTCAACAATAAAAACATCGCGAATTGTCATCAGGGAACAGCGAGAGCATGATCAAGAAGATCAACAACGAGAACAATTTCGAGGCTATAAGCGTATGCGAAGACAACATCAAAAACAATTAAAACAGGTAGTTTGTTAGTTATTTAAGAGAAAAAGTTTCGTAAGTGAATATATCTCATTTTTGTAGTTTGAAGAACGTTGTCGACAAGAAAAATTTGAATTACGAAGTAAACTTGAACGTGAATATAATCAATTTCAAGAACAAGTCGCTGCTGATAACAATCGTATATTGGAAAAACATCGAAAAGAATCAGCTGACCGAGTAAATGAATATGAACATTATCAGAAGAAACAAAATAATGCATACCTGTTCTGTTTTTAAAGGTGAAATATAATCAAAATCAATTGAGAAAATTAGAACGTGAACAAGAATCCGACTATGATACAGAATTAAAGCGTTTTTCAGTTGAACAACAACGAAGTTATAAAATGAAGAAAGAAGCGTTTAAAAAAGTAAAAATGGATAAATTATCTGTCATTTCTGAATGAAAGAAACTAGTGAATGGGTTGTTTTATTTAGGAAATTTTGGGTTCAACTTCACGACCAAAAAATGAAAAAGAAGAAGAGATGCGTAAAGTAAAAGAAGAATTACAAATGAAATTAAGAAATGAGGAACAAAATTTACGAACACAATTAGAACACGATCATACAGTTAGAAAATTACAATTAAGAAGACGCAAATTGTTATTGTTACATGTTCTAGAGCAAAAATTATTTGAAGAAGTATGTTTTATACATATGTATATATATTATATATATATAGGGAGAGAGATCTATTCAAAAATGGTCATGTTTTTCTCCAAATTAGAAATGTACAAAAAATATGGATCATATTATTGCAAGACACGCACTCTTAAAAAAACATCATGAACAAACAAAAGAACTTGAGTTGAAACAATTACAGAATTTGCACAAGTATGCAGTCGAATTCCATGTTAGTTATAAATCGTGACTAACGTTATTTAATATTTGTTATATATAGGATGCGTGGAGAATTTACCAATAAACAACATCAAACAGAAATAGCTAATTTTAGTGAATATAGTACAAGAAGACAAAAAGAATTGATGAAACAACATGCAATCAATCAAAAACAATTTCCAAAAAATATTAAAGTATGCGTTCTGAATTTTTTTCGTCGAACAAAGTTTCTCTCTATGTCTAATTGAATGTTGACAACGATTATATGCATATCAATCTATTTTGTTATAGTTTAAACAAGCTGATATAAAGAAGCAATATAAAGATGCTTATAATACTCAAACACGTCAATATAAAGCATTAAAAGAAAAAACACGTTTAGATAATCCAACATTATCACGTGAAGAATTAGAATTGAAACTGAAACAAATCAAAGATGAACAACGACGAAAATTTGATTTATTATATCAGCGATATGAAGAAACCATTCAAAAAATGCTTGATCAACAAAATGTGTGTATAATACTGTGAATTACTTTATATCATTATTGCTATTCAATGATATTTCTTTTCAGGTTAAACTCAACGCTGATCAAGAACATGAACGAATGAATTTAAAACAAATATTAGACGAAGATCAACGAAATTTAACAGCACTACAAGAAGAAAGTCGTCTGAGAATGGAACAACAAAATATTGATGAAAGACGACAATTGGATAGAAATATTGATGATAGATTAACACAATTAAATAAACAGGTAAGCGTACAAAAAATGTTGACATTTTGTTTGTTAGTCGCTTTTGTTGAAATATCACTCTAGTTTCTTTAAATTTAGATGGAACAAGATTTAGCAGCATATAATGAAGATCGTACACGTCAATTTCAAATATTATTAGAACGTCAACGTCGGGAATTAGATGTTGTTGATAATGAAATTACACATCTTGGAATTAGTGTCAACGATTTAATTGATAATGTTCAAGATATGAATTTTTTTAATATGAACGAAAATAATAATAGTAGTTATCCATCAGTAGATGGTTCGATAAAATTACCTTCAGAAAACACTCCCAATCATCATCAAAATTATCATTACTCTCAACAACAACAACAACAACAAACAGCTAGCCCATCGAGTAACACGAATGGGCAACAACAACAACAAATTCGATATTACTCTGATCGTAGTTCAGTAATAAGTTTACAACGTAGTCGTAGTTCAAATTCATTTCATAATAATAATTCGTCGGCAGCACCTATAACGACACAATCTCCACAACCAATATTATATACGAATTCGAACAAATAACTCTTTGTCCTTTTTTTTTCTTCTCGTTTTTGTGAATACAGTGATTTGTGTTTATTTGTTTATTTCTTAATTCTACTAAAACATTCTACAGCTATCAATTTTTTTTGTTTATTTTGTTTTGAATTGACTATGTACACCATGTAGTACTTTTATCTCTCGTATAATGCTCAGATTTATCTTTTTTGTTGGATATTTTCATCTTCGATTTCTTTACATCTTTCACGACCTCAAACTATCAGTCCTTTGATATATACAAAATGATAGGCTTATATGGAAGAAGAATTAGTTGTTATTTTTTTGAAAAATGTAGCAATCGATGATGAGTAGAAAAAGTCATTGTAAAAATGGTTTGATTTATATAAAGCCTTAAGTCTTTTAAAGTTGATAGTCCAAAAGTTTTTAATTTGTGTTCTTGTAGAAGATAGATAGCGCAGTTCTTTTTGTTTTTGTGTTTAGATGTTGTGCTAAATTGTACTATAGAAATTTCATATATGTCGTATGGGTTTTTACTGATTTTATTGTTCTTTAAAAGAACAAAGTTATCCTGTAGTTGAAAACAATGAGTTTTTTTTGTTTTGTTTTTTGGATAAATAGTCTTCCTTTATATGTATAATTTAAAATGTCCTTTTTTTGTGGATCTCTTGATTCAAGCTATTATCATTATTCTTCTCTTTTTCTAACTACATCGACGGTTTTTTTTCGTTTTTTAATCAAATCAAATCGTTGTATGTATGCATGTGTTCTGTTTCTTGCTGTTTTTTCTTCTAATTTTGTTTATATGGCTATTATCGGTTCTTGTGCGCGCTCATTCACTTATTTTTATATATATATACACACTTCAAATACCTCTATCGATTTTAAATGAGACAGATATCATTGATAATATGTTTTTAATTTGCACTGATCAGGAATAGTCGAGAACTATAACCAGCTGCATAATACATTTATAATAAATTGAAACGAAAATAGCTAAGAAATAGTTAATTTTAGCACAACTTTATACACATTACAAGATCTGTAGCTAATTTTATCTATATTACATGTGTAATGTCCAATTTGGTCTTCTACTGTTAACTTTACTAATATAATCTTTGAACTTTACTTATTATCACTGACAAACGTGTTTATTATTGTAGATTACTAACATTCTTCTTGTACGCGTTTGTGTTCTGTTCATTGTAGAAAAAAACGAAGACTCTGTTGACTCGTTCTTTTTCCTTCTTCGTTTGATTTATTCGTGTGCGTCTTTTTTTTCTTTGGTAAATCAAAATAATCCATTCGATTTATAATGAGCACAAGTAATCCTGCAAATTCGTCGACAGCAACTCCACAAACTACGGTAATACAATCATTTATTTTTAGATTTTTGTTATTAGTAATACGAAAATTCTTTATTTTTTCAGCCAGTTGCTATTGCTGCGCCTATTCACGAGGTTGATCTAGAAGAGCCATCAACGGCTGTCGTATTACCCGGTAGATTTCCTTAAGCATATCATATGTTAATATCTAGATTTCATTGTTTTTTCTTTAGATTGTCCACCTCCTGCTTATTCTCCATCAGAAAATGCGTCCAATCAAGTTGAAACTATTTCATCGTCAACATCACATGCAGAAGCTCCACCGCCGTATTGTTTAATTGATCCGAGTAAAATACATACTCATTATCAACATCATCCGAATATAACATCACCGGAAATTATTGACTTAGATACCAGTGATACAGTAAGAGTATATCTTTTCGAATTATTTTTGTAAATGTCTCAGTTAACTCTTTTTAGTCTCAACGACAACAAGCTGCAATTTCAGCATGGCTTACCAGTGGTAGTAATATGGATATTGGCACAGATTGTACGTTTTTAATGGCCTTTATTGGTAAGTTTGTTTATTTCAGCAATAACAGAACCAGATTGTTACATTTTTATTTATTTAGTGAGCTTTTTCTTCAATTGGCTCGGATTCTTGGCTGTTGTCTGTCTCATACCTACGATTTCAGCTCGTTTCGGAGCCATGAGCGGTTTTGGTCTCTCGATGGCAAAATGGATGTACGTTTGTATGCCTGCTTCTCTGTTCAATATATATATATATATATATATATATTACATAAGTTTATTTTTTTTCTAGTACTGTTATGAGATACCACGATTTTAAAAATGGTATTCGAGATCCAGCACAAAATTTTGTTTTTGCAATTGTTCTATTTGCTGGTAAATTGTGCATACTTCTGTAACTTACCAATATTTTCTACTTCATTTATACATTTTTCTAGGATTTTTTCTCTTCGTCCGTGGTCTCATATCATATATTGCAGTTAAAAATCGTGCTAATCGTGCTGGTCAAACTGCTGAAATATTCACGTGGTACTAAGTGGATCTGATTATTAAAAAAAAAAGGTTTAAGACTAATTATTCTTTGTGTTTGTGCAAATGGTATATATTGTTATCGTTATTTCTCCTATTTTTAACTTGTTTACTATTTTCTTAATTCCATTCGAGAGATCTTTTCGATATTTATTCTCATCTTTAAAAACACATGTGTTTACTCAGTATATTGTCACCTGCTACTTTGAATTTATAAAAATCAAATAAGAATCTTATTGTCGTTTGTCTTTATTGTATCTTCTTTCTTTTCAAAAAGAACTTCTTTCAACTTTAGTTTGTCTTAATTTCTTATATATTCATTTCAAGCAAAACTTTTTTTTAAATTTTTCGTTTATGATCGAAAAAATCGAAGTGATTGTCCAATGATAGTTTAAATTTGAACATTTAAAATTGTGATGAAAGTCACTTTATGAACAATATGCTAACATTTTATTTTATCTTAGGGAGAATTGCAAAAACTATTTCGAATAATGACGAGAGGTACTGTTAATGTGTTATATGATTACTGTTATGTAGAGTATATTGAAAATGTTTGTAATCAGCGCGATCTACTATCTCAGGAGAAAATATCAATTTCTCTTTTTTCCTCGATTATGCTCATACGACTACTTTGCTTTTTGTAATTCTCTTGTTTTTCCGATGCGAAATTTGATCAGTTGTATTTTTTAGCTTCTTTAAATATTTTTTTTTTTTGTTCATACACTAATACAGCAAATGTCTGTTTTTTCTTTTCTTTGCTCAGAATAAAGTGAGTTAAATGAGTCGTTTAAAAATTATTTTACGCCTTACAACCTCGGTCTCATCCCGCTGATTTTACATATGGTACTTCACACGAACTTTGCTGAAGTACTGAATGATGTATGTAGCAGTCAATAAATAAAATAAAATAAAATAAAATAGAGAAAAAATGAAGCGTTAAATCAAACGAACATCGATAAATCCATAAACTATATGCAGTAATTTTTTTTAATCACATAAGAGATAAAAACTAAAAATATTATCACTAATAGCATCATCATAACTCGTAGTTTTGTTTTGCACAATTTAGTGCAATGGGAAAATGCGTAGTTGGAGAAGTACAGCGTATGAAAGGTCGGAAAATCGAATCCAGGAGAAGAACACCTAAAAATTGTTCTAAAAAACTCTTCAGTATGGTTGTTGATCTTTCGCGTATGAGTGAATCTGCTTTCCATTAAAATTCTAATCCAGCTAATTGATGCATTTTTGGATCATTCATTTATGTTGTATGTATAGTTCAGTATCGCATATGTATTGGATAGACCTATATAACCATGTCAACTATCATTGAAGAGGATGAAGACCAATAATTCTACTGAACATCGTAGATAATCAACCTTTACTTCAAAGTGAAATTTCATGTTTCCTATGTTCATGTATCTTTTTTTTTCTCATCTGTAGTAAAATACATTCAAAAATTGACACATGAAAATAAAATATTTAAAAACAAAAATATTTTTGAAACTAAAATAGAAAACAGAGAAAAGTCAACAAAAGAAAATCATTAAAAGAGCGAGAAACTATTGAATACATGAGGATATATTAACAACAGAAATAGATAAAGTATGAAGATGAATGAATGAATGTATGAATGATTGAAGCGAGAAACGAAGATCATATATATGTACAAACAAAAAACAAATACCCACAATCAGATCAATTTGAAAAAATGTACAAAAAGATATATAAGGGGTAAAAATTATCTCGTTCTCGGAGTTGTTGATGATGTCGCTACATTCTATCTGATAAAGAGTGAAAATTAACAAAAATAATGGATGAATGAGGTTTTTGACTATGAGAAGATGTATGATGAAGAATGAAAAATACCGGTACACAGTACTGTTCAATAAAAAAAAGAAAGTGTTTCGGTTATTCAGTTGATATTGATACTTGTCTTAAATGTTCACGTTCAGCTTTATGCGAATCTGAACAACTGCATCCAATCAACATTTCTCGATTTAAGAGTGCATCAGCTGTGGCTTGATCACCATTTGCTATGGCTGTATGTACGGCACTATGATCTAAATAACCATTTAAATGAATGTCCGAACCACTTTTCAGTAAATAGTCAATGATTTCGGCATGTGTGCCACGAACAGCTAGAGAAAAAGTAAATGATTAAATTAACGATAGACGATAAATTTTTTAAACCTTACCTAAAATCAATGGTATATCCCCATCATCATTTTTATTATTTACACTGGCACCATAATTGACAAGTGTTTGTACAACATCCAAATGACCACCCTAAAATCCATTTTTATTTAGATGAACTTGAATATCGATTGAAGATTTTAAATAAACGTACCTGTGCTGCGGCATGTAACGGTGTATATCCAAATTGACCTGCCTTATTGACATCAGCACGGTGGCTAATTAATTCTTTAACAACATCTAATCTTCCCAACATACCTAAAATAAAAAAAGTGTGCTTATTGACACTCTTTGTCTTCATGTATGAAACTTACTGGCATTAATAAGTGGTGTATAACCATATGCGTCTGGTTGATTCACATCCGCACCTTAACATAAATAACAAATCTATTCATTATACATATATCATCAAAGTAACTAGTGTTTGAAACAATTCTGTTCTCATACTCTCCGTATTTCGAACTTTAATTTAATTATCACATAAAAACTTCATATACTCTACGCTACCTACCTTCACGAATCCACACTCGTATTGCTTCTAATGTTCCACATTCAGCTTCTTCTGGTAATGAACGTTTTGTTTTATTTCCATGCGAAAAAAAACCAAATAATAGATCTGTTGTTGTTTTAATCCAACTAATAGGATAATAAACGTTTTGTTGATCAATAGATTCCATTGCTCGTTTCGTTTATAAGAAATAGTTTAACAATGAAGTATGAAAACTGTGCTTTTATACGAATACTATGTATATATATGCCTAGAATTACCAAACAACCTTGTTAAATTGCAGACAGTATACAGAATGAGTCGATTACATTTTAGTAGAAAGAATGTGCGTTTTCTGCACTCAATTCTCTTACTAATACATAGTAACTTTGTCTACGATATATGTCTGTTTTACTACGTACATATAAAAAAGGCGAAAAGCGATAAAAAAAAGATATTAGTTCTGGTTTTGTGCAAACACATACGTTATAGAAAGAGAAATTGTTTGATAGAATAGTCGGTTTTTGTTTTTTTTTCTTTTCTTTTTTTTATCCTGCACGTCGTTTATCGACAAAAACGGAGAACACGAGATAATGATTCTAGGGCATAATCTGTGAATTTTTACGTTCCTTGGTAGAAGACAATGACAACAAATAAAAAAATAAAGAAAAACTATCATGCACTGAGTGGATGTGTAACTGCATGTTGAATAGATGAGTTTGAGAAGGACAGAAGCTGACAAAGGTCAAGGACAAATGAAATATTACAACAATCAACAACTCAAGAAAAGTTGTTAATGATCCCATCTAAATCTTCAGATGTAGAATAGAAGAACGAACGAAAACACCACAAATTGTGAAGGATAATGGTTAGAAACTGGATTGTAAAAATACATACTACTCACATTAAAACTATTGCCGTGGTGTATCAGAATTATATTACATTACTTTTAAAAGATTTTTAAAATCGAACACTATCATTATCATTTCATTAGATTATTAATAGCTATAAAAGACTGTTTGATTGAAAAAATTTCTTCGGGAGGTCCTTTCATGTTGCTTCTTGATATTATCTTCTTTTTATGACGAGATATTCTCTCCTTAAAAAAGGTAGCATCTAATATTAGATAAAGTAGCTTACCTTTTTTTATTTTATTTATTATTTGAACTGAATAGATGAAAGTTTTTGTGTCTTTGTTATTAGACAGCAGATACGTCTTCGATCGAGTAAAATATAATAAAAGGATCTGTTTCTGTTGATACCTATTTATATCAAGCTTGAAAGAGAAAGAGAGTGAATTATTCAAAAGTTTTTTTTTGCAGTTTTTTCGCTATTGTTTTTTTTTTTTTCTACTATATTTCTATATCACAACCATAGCATCTGAATTTATGTCAAGCCGCGCATAGCCCTTTTCATCATGCATAGAATGTATGAGTTCATCCTATTTTATGTAAGAAAATAGAAAAGAAAAAATGTTTGCTCTGTTTTTCTTTGTGTGTATTGTGTGCGATCACGTACTCCATGGATGATAACATATAGGTATGCGTAGTTATAGTGAATGATGACGAATTTTTTAAAGAAAACTTGTGATCTTCTTCACAATAGTCACGATGGATGTGTGTCTGTGGGGTTGTTAATGACCCAAACATTCTGCATAGAAATGAAATCAATGAATACTGAAAAATCCATTGAAAAAATGAGATAAAGCCTTTTTTCTTACTATTATTTAAACGATATGTATTTGAATTATTAACCTTTATCCTATTATTCTTATCTTTAAGAATAAAAATGAAACTTAAGTTTGATTTAAAAAGAGTGTGAAAGAAGGAGTGGCATTGCACAAGAGGCTGGCGTTTGAAAAGCTACTTAGGACTGATCTAAAGTTCTGGCAATATTAAATAAAAATATAAAGATAAGGAGATATGTTTAATTTAATTTTATCAAATGTTCAGGATAGTTGCCATGATTAGTTATATCAAGTTCAATCCTTTCTAACAATTTATTAAAAGTTTTTTTTGAACTCTTTTTCTAAAAAATGTTTAGCTACCTTGGAAACCACATGAACACATCACATTTCATTTATTTAATTAGTTAAACTTCGTTCGATAGAATTATTTAATCAAATATTATGTAGTATTAGGTATGACGAATATGGCGGATGCGACATTATATTGATGCCTGTCCAGTTTTAGTTTGGAAGAGAAGTAGAAGTTCTCAAGTTCGTTGTTGATCATTTTTAGTTACATTTACCTAATTCACACGATATAGGCATAAATTTGCATTAAATAAACTCATTTAAAAACGTTTTTCTCTACATTTATCAAGGTTATTCCAATGATGTTTATATAACGGAGTCACTGATACATTCCTTAAATTTAGATGCATACACCATTTACGTAATTCGGTAATGACGTCTATTATTTGCGCATAATTTTTTTAAAGAAAAAATTACTTTATTCAGGAATGCCATGACCTTCAGATTTTTTAAAGGTCAATGAATGGATACCAACCTTTTTCTTTCTCTTTTGAAAAATGAAAAGTTCGTAGGAAGCTTCCAAAAATTTCCTGAAGAATTTCCTACTTTTCAAAATCGGGATAATTTGTATGTACTCACTGACGCGTCTCTGACACTTTCATTTATCATTTTGTTCCATAATCTTATTTGTTATTAAACAGTCACCATCTTTTTGAAAAAATTTTCAAACGTTTTCTATTAAATTGTGAGTGACAACTAACATGTAAGCTTAACCAATGACTTCTGATTAAAGTTTACCAAAATATAATACGTTTCTATTTTTAACGTATCAGAATACAAAGTCGGTGAGTTTTGAACGCTTGAATCTTGTTCACAACAAGTCTTACAGGAGCTATGTAAACTTTTGAAAAATTTATTTAAATGACACATCCCGTACTTTGTTAAGAAAGTTTCATGGAACAAACTATAGTATCAGGAAAAGTTGAATAATGGACTTTGCACTTTTTACTTGAAGTAGTTGTTAAACGGAAGACTTAGATCATACTGATCTGATTAAATCAACAGTTTACTTCTTTGTCTTGTTCGCAAACGTTAATTATATTTTAGTAGAACATATAACTCTTTATAATATTGTCTTATGTTTTTTTTCTATTTTTAATAATCTCAAGTTACATATTTTCAGATTTTATTTAAGTGGATTGTATGTTAAAATACAAGAAAAATACGAAAAGCAATCAATACAAATATAATTTTTATGGGCTATTTTTTTTTTTTGTTGAGGACAAATGTCAAGCGGTCGTGACCATTTCTTATTTTCAATTTGAATAATAAATCAAAAGCAAAAGTTTAATCCACAGGATATTTATGTTTTAGTTTAATTGGAAAGCTTGAGTACGTAATGCGTACGTCTGCTTGAGTTAGTACAGTAATGTCGTTGCTAAATAAAAGCATAACTCGTCAGATATTACTATTAATTATTATAATTTTTCTTTGGCGTTTATAATTGTAACTTCATTCATCTCTTAATTATCAGTAGTTTTATGCTTTTAGGCGTACACACGTTTACCAACCTCCCTAAGGGTTATTTGAGGTCAAAAACGTGTAATAGTTCACCTTTTATTATCTAAGACTAAGAAACCAATATGAGGGCATGAAAAAAACAAATTTCTATCTCGTAATAGAATATTAATTGTTTTTTTCTTATTTTTCAGAGCGTGAAAGTATAAAATACACATGATGTTCTTAAGTACGCGCGTAAGCACCCAGATATATTGAATGATGGGAGATTGGACAGACGTTTGTATTGACACTATTGGAAAATTGCCATTACAGATAAGAAACAAATCAGTGGGTGTAGATTGATTGAAGTAGACGCGAAATTAGAAGAAAAAGTATTTCTACAAAAAGAGCAATGAGGCTAATCACCTTTTTTTATAAAAGCTTATTCATTGTGATTAGCAACAGTTTTTAACGGATGAGCGAGTTAGTTTATTGCCCGATTGCATTTGATAGGATTTTGGCGTTATAATGTACCGCCACTAATACCGTTATTCGTTCAAATTTTAGTTACTGCTATGTTATCCAAGAATAATTTTCTGTTCAGACATGGCACGTGCAAATCTCCGTGATAATTAATTTTTGTCTTAAATGATTCAGAGATCTTTGAAAACGATAAATTAAGTTATATGCACCGTCTATTCGAACCATGTCTGTGTAGGGTCGAGTGAATTAAAGACAAACGGTACTTGTTTTAATCCCTAGACTGTAAGCATACACTCTAAAAAAAAGGTAATTCAAAAAACCCTAAAATGTATTTTCTATTTGAGAAAAAACAAAATAAAGGTATACACTCTAAAAAGAGTCGTAGATTAATAAACTCCAATAAAAGAGCTTTTTGAACTAAAAAAAACTCTTTTATTGGAGTTTATTAATCTACGACTTTTTTTAGAGTGTAATTACCCGTGAAAAACGTTTAAAAGGTATAACTATTTGAACTATATCATAACTTTTTAAAAGTTTCTTATTCTTATCAAAATAATTTTCGTTTTCTAAAATACGGCTAAATTATGTTCTGACAAGCGGTTGAGGTTTCTTTATGTCACAAAAAAACCTTTTAGGTATTTTAGAATCCCGAAGCAATTCAGGGTTTTTTAAATCACGGCTTTTTCGTATTCTAAAAATCCCAAAAAGGTTTTCTGATAAGAATAAAAAGCGTTTAAACAGTTATGGTATGGTTCAAATGGTTATACCATTTTCCGTACTTTAAAATACCTTTTTTTTGAGAGAGTAGAAGTAATGGGCTGTGATGCATCCGAAAATAACCAAGACCGATCTTTGGGTAGATCCTGTTGTCCAATTTTTTTTCGGCAGTTATAAGTGAGGAAAGTGTCCGGAAATAGATAATTAGCCATGATTGAGAGTATATGTGCGATAAAGTTTTTGAATCTCCATAGGTAATGCGATTTTTACTGTTTTTTAACTAAACAGCGAAGATATCAATTGAGTGATCTTAGAAGAGTATTAGCTTCAATCCAGACGAATAGGGGTTTACTGTAAAACAGCTCTGTACATTGTATTAATCAAAAGTGCATTCTTATTGAACAAATAAAAACTGTTACCGTGACTTTTATCTCATGATAAAATACATACAGAAATGAAGATGTACACTATAAAGTGCACAGAACAACAAAAAGAAATCAAGTCCTCCTAGGTTTCAACTGGGGTTGCTGTATTCAAAGTCAAGAGTACTAGTACTACACCATAAGACCAACGACACACTGAATCAAAACCCAATTATCCTTTTGTTCTATCGTAATACTTGAAATAATATTTTATTTCACCTGCGTACAGTACAAACGCTGAATTATCATGTAATTTTCTGTCAAAGATACAGTGCTCCGCAAAAATACCGACGCCCCTGTAACTCAAAAATCATGATAGTTACGGACTTCTAATTTTGCGTAATCTAAGCTATCACTAGATGCTGATAACCACATCAGTGTGGGCCGAGGAGACAATATTGTCAAAATTTTTGAGAATAACCACCTGTCACGTGCAGAAGAAAGGAAAAAAAGAAAAAGACTAGACAATGACATAAACATGTACATAGACATAGCTCAACTGTTCACATTTGTTATAATGCCTAAAAATGATTTCTGTATGAAATCGAAAGCTTGCATTCTTATTATTATACCACGGTAATGGTAATGGAATTCCCATGGTAACACAACATATTCTCATAGAAGGAAAAGAAAAAAACATAAACACGTGCATAAGCCACAAAATAAAGAATATGTAGGATCATGGACTAGCCTGAATGTTATATAGCGTTGGACTGTATTATATACATTAAAGTGATATACAATACCCTTTATAATAAAGAAATGACGTGATTATGAACTGGAATCTGAAAAATATCCGTTACCACTATCATTACCATGACTTTAAATTTTTGTTACCGTTTACCATCTATTACCTAGAATTAAAATCCTTCTCTTATCATTACCATTACCATGGTAAATGGCAATGGTAAGGTAATGGAATTTTTTTGTTACCGCAGGACTCTAGTGGTTGCTTATGGAATATTAAACTCTTCTCGTATTGTATCAGGACTTTGCGACAATAAAGAATATTTCACTTTTCTTTACAAAAAATTTTGTTTCAACTATTTTTTCAGCTTTTGCTTTATTTTCTGACAGTTTGCTGACCGTGTTTTTCGTTTAATACAATCAGCGAACTATAAACATAAACGATACGGCCTTCTGTATAGGTATGGCAGTTAACTGGAACTGTCAGGAACTGTTGGAAAAGAATTTCGAAATGAATTCAAAATTCTTTTCCAACAGTTCCTGACAATTGCAGTTCTTACAGTTAAAAACTGGAACTGGTGTATACTCCTATACTTTCTTTAGTCAAACAGCCAACCGAGTGGAACTCAGAGCGGTTAAGTCGACTGAGTGAAACGATAGGAGACTTATTGCTTTTCACTCTGAGCGTTGCCTAGCAAAATTCTTCTTTCTTTCCACTTCCACCCTGTGTTTTCTGGTTCGAGTCAGCCACTCGTTCTCGATTATCTCTGATCATACACATTTGGAGTAAATATTATCGGAAAGTTCAGCGGTCTTACATCACAAATCTGAAGTTAGTTTTCGGATATCTGCTTTAGTTATTCTATAATTAGTGCCACAACATGAGTATTTTTTTTTTAGAAAACTATCATTTTTCCTATGAAATAATTAATTGTCACGTGATATCCTTTCATAGCGAATGTATATACTACAGTGCGTGATGTGATGAAAGCTATAATAAAATATATTACGCGATAATGAATCAGCTGATACAGGAATATACAGGATATATGTAGCTGAATAGAATTCAAAAAATTCTTTTGCCTGGAACAATTCATTTGTAATAAATACAAGAATGGCTATCTTTCTGTACAGACTGTATTTTCTCTTTCGAGTCACTCACTCGTTCTCCGTTATGGCTAATCGCACGAAGACACTCAATAGCACAAACACCCTACTTTCTACTTCGAGTAAGCCACTCGTTCTCAGCCAAAACCTGTTCTCAGATTTGGCGAAAAGATCATTCGAGAGTGCAAGAGAGGTAGATGAAACAACTCAAGTTATTTTTTCGATATATATGTCAGCGTCCAAACTCGGATTCAGGCCAATCCAGGATTGGCCTAGGCGAAATTAGGATCTTAGTTTGACCTAGTCCAAACTCCGATCTTACTTTCGCCTAACTTTTTCCTAGGCCAAACTAGGATCTCGGTTTGAACTAGTCTAAAGTCAGATTAAAAAGAAAATATCAGGCCAATTCGAGATTGGACTGACTTTTCAAGGCGAATCTAAGATTGAACTAGGCAAAAGTCAGATTCATTTTACTTCAGGCCAAACTTAGATTAATCTCAGTGATCCTGGTGTTTCAAATTTCATTCCTGGTCATCGATTTTTAAAATTGATATTAGTTTTGGGGTCGAAATGTTATGTTCGGCTAAACATGGTAAATAGTTGGTGATTTCGGAAGCATATTATCAAGTTTTAGGTAATATTAAACTTAGATTAAAGTATAGTAATGTGTTTCTTCTCAATTTTAAATCTTTTCACAAGAAAAGCCCAATCTTAAACCAACAATAATACCAGTGCAAAACTGAGAAATGTCTTGAAATGTTTTTAGTTTTCTTGATTTTGACAAGATGCATTACTTTTATGACATTTTGTTGAGCAAAAAACACCATTTTTCTTATATGCACATTGTTTATTTTTACATCCTCCTTTGCATGAACATGTAACACCATTTGTAGCACCTCGAACATACAATTTTGAAGCTGTTATCATTGAAATGTTTTTCATACCATCAGTTTTTAAATCAACCAGCTCTTGTGGAACAGCAGATAAACTAATTAATTGTTCAATTGGACACCAATGTTCGAAAATTCCAAAACAACATGCAACTCTTACACGATTACTTCTTTTTCAATAATAACACACATATTTTTGCGTCAATATTTGTTCGATCAACTTTATCGATTTGTAAACCATAATAATCACCAATTTTACAATTATCCGACAAATTTTTCACATGAGTATTACGTGCGATGATTTGTTTTTGTGCATTCAGTAAATAAGAAGCAGCTGCTTGTTGCCGAATAACTGCATGCCGTGAACTATCGTCACCAAGATTGGACAGATCCGTTTGATCAAACAAAGAATCTGCATTATTTGTATTTGAACTTGGGGCAGTATCTTGGATTGATTGTAATATATTATCATCATAAGCCGCTGTTACTGTTACGGTTAATAAATCTGTTGTATTAATAATGCAGCTATCCGTTGCCTCTTCACCAAAATTTGATATAAGATTAGGTGTAGATGGAGGAGACTGATGTTGTGACAGAACCGGTGAAGACGTTTTTTCATCGCTGGCTGTCAATTGTGCTGAAATATTTGAAGGGAGATCTTCCTCATTTTCTAATATCAATTTTAAAAAATTGGCGACACCAGGAATGAAATTTACAATCTATTCCAACTTTCTTTCCAGCTGTTTCATGTTTTAACGCATTAATAATTCTACTAGCATACCGATATGATATCATTGATTTTTCTCTCATTGATAATGACAAACCATTTTTATAATCTTCAACTTTAGCATTGAATGCTTTTCCCCTGTTATCGTTGCTACTATCATTATCCTCACGTGGGTCGGTTGTAGATCCATCGTTGACTACAGTATCGCTTTTAGCACTATTATCACCCTCAATAATAACTGTTGGTAAATCATAGTCCAATGTCATTATATCTTGTGAATTATCACCCATGTTTAACAATTACGATGAAGTACGAACAGAATGTTGTAAAAGAGTTCTTATCTATCTTTATTAAAACTAGAAATGATCAACAAGTCATCTGAGTTTGTTTTGAGGACAACATGAATCTGAGTTTGGCCTAGTTCAATCTGAGATTAATCTAAGTTTGGCCTGAAGTAAAATGAATCTGACTTTTGCCTAGTTCAATCTTAGATTCGCCTTGAAAAGTCAGTCCAATCTCGAATTGGCCTGATATTTTCTTTTTAATCTGACTTT